AAATTCATTATACAATTTTAGATTTTTATATCTGTATTGTGTGTTCATATAAATGAAAATTAATAGCAAAATGTTGCTAAGCGCCAAACTCTAAGGCTGGGTCAATTCTAGTATTTTTTTATTTATTTCTGAGGAAGGTTTTTATCAAGAGTAAAATTAAAAAAAATTCATATGATTGTATGTAGCTATTAAAAAGCTTAAGAAAAAAAAAATTATATTAAAGCGAAACGAAGTACGCGGGGGCAGCTCGCAACGAATTGGTATAACAAGTGAAAATAATTATGACCAGTAAATTACTACTGGCTGCTGCGGTCCGTTCCGTTCTATTATCTTGATTATCTTATACGGCTTGTACAAGATTTATCGAGTTGACGAAACATCGCGTTCATAGTTAAGAACGCTCTGTACATTGAACATTATTGGATGGACCTAAAGTCTTATTTTACTCGTCGATGGACGCGTCAATGGATGCTCACTTGCAAGTCCATTGAATGTTACAGTGAAGTTAAAATTATTTCCAATATAAGCGAGTTTTTGATTATTCGATAACATTATCACGTTTTTTTTTGTATTCCTACAGCTAACATTAATTATATACAATAAAAAACAACTATACTAAGCATATAGCCAAAAAAATTCAAAATTCAAAAATCATTTATTCACGTAGGTAACACAATGTACACTTGTGATTCGTCATTAAAGAAATACATATTAATGCTTTTAATTTTACATTTACTGCCAGTTCTCAAATCAAGGGCGTAGAACGGAAGAGAAGAACTGGCAATAAACTCTCCGCCACTCTTTTTAATCGCCATGTTTTTTTTACACAACGTTTGTAAGGAGCTGCAACCATTACACCATGTTCCACATGACATCTTAAGTAATTAATAATAATAACATAAATTAAAAACAAAGACTGGTCCTCTATCAGCAGGAGGCATGGTGAAATAGGAGCACGCACTTACATTCTCGTGGGAACAACACGCAAACACATAGTCGAAATAATTAACATCACCGCATACACGAATTCAAGTACGACCAGTCACCACAAGTAGCACCCGTTCACGAGTATGACGCATGGTCAGCCATCGGCCAAAGAATAAAGTACATAAAAAAAGGTTGAATTAATTACGAAAGGAAAAAACCAATACACATTATTAAATACGTAATACCTAATTCGGCTGTGCCATCGTTTGAAAGTGAGGATATTATTATTATTATAAATAAATTATTACATACATACTTTGGTTTATTATTCATACAATTGAAGAAACTTAGCTTGTATCTAAGTCATCTTACAAACATTTTTAATTAAATATGAAGACAATTTTACGTAAATATTACCTTTAATGGACATAAATTCAGAGTTGTTTAGATTCACGTGTATATACATAATTTTGACATAGATCTTGTGTGTAAACATTTTGATGTTTCATCAAATTTCTGCTATTTTTTTCATTTGAACAAAACAACGCAAATAGAATTATGTTGATATAGCAATTTTTTTTAAACTAACTAGCTGACCCGGCAAACGTTACCATGTATATTATTTCTAGGAAACATTTTTTTAGTTCACTAAAAATAGGGCTTGATCGTAGAGGGGTAAAAATTAAGGATTGTGTGTATTTTTGTTTTATGTATCATAAAAAATTAAAAACAACAAAAAATAATCTAAAAAATAAAAAATATTTGGAGTGGCCACCCCTTAGCCGATTCTCATACTGAATATGCATAAAAAATTTCATAAGAATCGGCCGTTTCGGAGGAGTATGGGAACAAACAATGTGACACGAGAATTTTATATATTAGTTAGAGATAATCTTTTAACTTTGAGTATTTTGGTATGCAATTAAAGTCACCTTCGTCAGGTGTATAAAATATCGGTCTACCATCAAAGCACCCACAAAAACATAGCGCTCCCGACAACCCGTTCGCCCCAAATCTCAACAAAAATTTCATTTTTATTGTGTAATGTCGACGCTCTTTTTTGTCACTAGTTTTTATGTCACGAAGTTTGATTACAAAATGTATGATTAAAAAGCAAAACAGGCTACGTTTAAATACAAAACTGGAATGTTTCGAAAACCATTAAACAACGTGTAACACAATTTCCGCTGTAACCATGTGGCATTTTTTGTTTAAGGGCGAATGGTTAGAGGCAAAGGGTTTTAATCATTTGAAAATGATCTGTATGGAGTTTTTTTAGATTTTAAATCTTAACTCCATACTTATGTTTAATATATTTGCGGACCGTTTTACTTGAAATAACCCGGTAGTTAGAAACAGACGGCCACCAGAATCCGATGATATAAAAACCGTCCGGAGGGGAATTTAAATATTAATTTATTTACAGTTAATGTATGGCCAAGTTAAGTATTATATAGTTAAGTTAACTATTAAGCTAAAAGAGTAAGCGAGAATGGGAGCTTGTTGGAAGTTAGCATTCTGTGGAGACTCACTCCATAATGCCCAAATTAATTCTAAACTATATTTAAATTTAGGATCATCAAATTCTTAAACCACCATAAGAACTTCAACTTAAAATACAGTAAGGTCTATTGATGATCGTTCAAATGTAATGAATAGCAGTTTGGGTGTTTATTAACATCTGTTAACGTAAAGAAATGGTTTACGATTGATTTTACGATCCACATTCCGATTTTAAGTCCCTTACACGAACCAAGATAGCTTTGATTTAAATTTTATTCCTTATCTGTATGTATTTAGGGAACTCGAGTCTACTCTCCTGCATTGAATGGTCACGTAATTTAATTTTTTTCAGTACCAGTTCGTTCGATAAATTGTATTTAACGTCACAGCTATGAGCGAAGAAAAGTGTGATAGTACCAAGGGTATTTCATTCCATATTCAACTCATAAAACATTCTTAGTAACTGTTTGAACCAATTATTCGTCTCTTTCATCAATGGTCGGAAAACCGCGGCTCGCATGTGGTGCTCCGACTCACTGGCTGTGGCATGTTTTTAATACTACATATATTCAGTGATGACAACTCCTACAGAATGTTCCAGAACTAACTTCAAATACCCCTAAATATCGATTAAAAACTCCTAACGTTTTTGTTGTTCACTCGCTTGGAAGTACATTACATTCAAGTAGTATAAAATAGCTGTTATTTTGATCTCGGAGTATTATAGCTTTTTGACATTTCAATTTCAACGCTTGAGTTTTAATTTGTTCGTTGGTTCAAAGCTTAATATAAATTGAAGGCAATCGTGCATTTTATTTAAGAATGAAGCACTTTCTGCGTGTGATTCATTCCCATTAAATTGTGTAGGTATAAAATAAAACAATGTCTTGATTCCCCCTAAATTTGTAAATAATACCCCCAAGTTAGAACTGTAGATTTAACAAAGAAATATATTTATTTGGATCTTTTGGCAATCAGTTGCTATACCTATATAGGAAAAAATCTGTAATCTTAAGTTTAAAGGTTTACCATGTACCACAGCATTTTTAAACATAAATTATTACCACGAAAGAAATACCTACAATACTTTGTAGTTCAAAGTAATTTACAGCGAAGATAGAGACGTGCTGGAATTTTGTATTTAATAGGCTATGTAATAAAACAACCAGACGCAGTAATGAGCGTTCGTTTAGATTCTTTACCGTAAATGTTTGAGAAGTAGGCTTTGCGTATATCGCTATTATAGTCGATCAAATTGTGAGAATACAAAATAGCGACCCGACCCGCACCCGTAACTTGAAAATTTATGAATCTTTCTAGATAATGATGAAAGCTGCAATAAGCTCAGTTTTTTTAGGAGTTAGACATGTATTTCTAATTGTTTAGGCATTATTACGGTGTCAATCAATATCTGTCTCGTTTTATAAATGTTTCGGTCGACCGGTCTTTTGTTAAACTTTGCAAATCGAACTACTTAATGAATTATCAAAATCAGTTCAGTACTTCCAGAGATAGATAGTTGTTGTTTGGATTCCCATGAACCCCTCGTGAGACATAAGGGCTGATGTTGCAGATGTTTCACAATAGGTTTTTTTAGAATGTTAATTAGCGATGTTCTTACCAGCACGTTCAGCAGTTCTTACGGAAACATATTTTTGAAGTTATACTTCTTTAGGCGCGTTATGAAAAATTTATGAGTGAAATTTTACGATGCGCGCGCACCGTGACACAAAATTAACGGAATGAAGTTGCCCACGGAAGATGCTACGGCATTGGAGATAATTTAAAAACAACATTCGAATAATAATAGAATTTATGTTGCACTTAATGTAAAAGAATAATAATAAATATTTATTTATTTAATTTTTCAAATGTAAACTGAACTTTATTGACTATAATGACTCCTTTTCCAGTCTTTGATTATTTAATTGTAATTAATTATTTGCATGCAATCAAAAACTATTTTTAATAATGCCAAAGAAGTATAATTTCTTACGCGCGTACATAAGTAGACGCACCCTTTTTTTTATCTACCCGAATGAAAATTATGTTTTCGTTTAAAGTCATTCGATCTCAAATATATTAATAGTTTTATTAACGAGGAGCTTAAACTTGAGTCGCAAAAATTTCGTCACCCTCAAAAGCATTAATTGTATAATTTTTCTCTGTCGGCGTACCCTCAACATCTGGCAGCCACGCCTCGAACTTTTTGTAATGAATAACGGGAGCCGAGAACGGAATAACTTTTGGTCTATTTTACAGAAATTATGACTTCTATCTTTAAATATATAATTGTATTGTATGTGTGTATGTCACTGAACTCCTCTTAAACGGTTGGACTGATTTGATTGATTTATTTTGCGTTTGGGTGGCGCCCTGAATGGTTCAGTAAATCAGTCCGGCAGATGTCGATACTTTCATACTTTGTTTAATATAATAATCGCTTGAAATATCATGCAGGACAACGTCTGTCGGGTCCGCTAGTGCGTCATTTAAATAGCGATGTAGATTTCGATATAACCCCGAAAAAAACCCTAATATATATTTTTTTAATATAATATTTATAGAATCTAAGAATAGGGCAGTAATTGTAATAGACATCCTGTAAATCTTATTTTATACCACAAGGAGATGTAGTGGAGTACTTGAATCTGAAGATTTAAAAAAAAACCCACTATCTTAGCGGATTCTACGGCTAAACATTTACTAAATTTATATGCACTGTTGTCTCACTTGATTAAGACATGTACCTAGTGATTAATATTGTATGTTATGCATAGTAGCATTCCAATATGCATTGTATTAATATCCGTTGTATATCTAGAATAATAATGAGTAGAAAATTAACTCACTGCAATACTAATGTGGTTTCAGACAAAGAGCCTACAGTGAAAACTAGCTATTAACACTACTGTCAGTGGATAATCCACATCATCATTTCATATTTTGTATTATATTCAAAATATATTTCTGAATTGAAACCTAAATGTGTCAGCAATGTTTGTGAAATATGTTTTATGGGATTTTAAATTTAACTGTTCTATACAATAGTAACAATTTACATAGTAGCCCCTCTAAATGAAACCTTGATCCAGCCATAAATAATATAATTTTTTAGTATTGAAATTTTAAGAAGCCTTCAAAAGGAAGAATTTGTTCCTACATGTACCTATATTTTTTTTTTAATAAGCCGAACATTATCGATTTTCAACATTTCTACAAAAGTTCGCATGGCGCAGTTCGCTTCAGCAATTCCTAGTAAATACAAGAAAAAACCACTCAAACATCACATTTCAAAATTATAAATTTAATTAAATTATTATCGGTCTTAAAAAATTTCATAGACCGTCCCGAACTAAAAAGAGAAATGGCCCACCCCACTACATAAGACGCCCCACTCACAAAGAAATTTACAATTTCAAACATGGAATGTTCGATTGATCGCAAGCAGTCTTTATAACGAACTACATATTATTATTTACTTACCTCATATTTGATACCGGCCAAGCGAAGCCAAGTTTCAACTTTCAAGCAGTACGGGGATGTAGAGAGTAACAAAGGCGTCCTGGCAAATTGGTAGAGATAGACCATATCTTGCTGGAAGTTCGCCTTATGAACATTCGGCTTTGGTGCTGCTGGCTCAGCTTTCTTCTCTTCGGCCACTTTTTCCTCAACCTTTCCTTCGGTAGCGTTTTCTTCTTTTGTCTGGGTATTGTCTGCGGGCGCGTCCTCCTTCATTTCTTTCTCTTTGGTGGTATTGTCCGGAGCGTTATTGACAACTTCTGTAGCCATTTTGCTGATTTAAGCACGAATGTTTAACACACAGCAAAGTGGGTTCGTCTTTTGTTTTATAGTTTTTTGACCGTGTTACAAGCGCACGCTTGTCGTGAGTTAATGGCGAGAGCAACCGTCGTGCTGCGCTAAATACAGTCAACTGAATGTCAGTCGAGACTCGAGACTCGAGAGTCGGTTTCGGCCTGCTGGTTAGTAATCTGTGCAAGTATGCAACGGAATATTTATTGTATCGAGCAACGTTGTTTTATGTTGCCGTTGAGACAAATTGTGCCAATACTGGGGTAATTTCTTACCACAATATATTTTTAGCTACAAAAGCTTAGAAATAAAAAAAAATAATCTAAAATCATAGATATAATACAATAGAGATAATTTATTTATGTTGAAATAAAAAATATTGATTTGTTTATTTAAGTTTGTCAATTTACTTTAGCTAAATCACATAGGATAAGCTAAGGACGATTAAAATAGAATATGTACGCCAAGACAACTAAGCAAGGCTAAAAACACGTATTAAGATACGAATTGAATAAGCATTATATTTTAATATAAAAATATGAGAAATATTGAAGTTACATGTGCAAGTTAATGAACTGTCGAAAGAACTTACTGCATGAAAGTGAATTGGCTTGTCTTCAAATAAAATAACTAAGAAAAGTGGAGATATATATTAAATTTTTAATTTCATTTCATTTGAAATCTCCTGGAACGAACAAATTTACGGACGACGTAACGTTAGGCATTGACTATTATTTTAATCATAACGTGTTGTTTTACCTGCTACTTCTTGATGGCAACACTTTTAAAATATAATGACGCTATTTCTGGATCTCGGCAAGCGTAACTGTCTTGAAACGCAGCGCCCAATTGTTAGGCGCGAAATTCAAACTGGGACAATGGAATTCAAAAACAATTACAAGAATTTATAATATTCAATCGATTCAAGTGAATAATTTAATAATACTTTTCAAATAATAAAATCTCCCTATGTACAATGTCGCTATGTGTGAAATTCTAAGAAATAATTCGAAGAAAACTCAGAAACGCCCGTACAAAAATGCCAACGCCTATGTCGAGAAAACCCAAGCATTTTCGCGATTAAATAATATTCCAATTTTAATTTTTTTTTTCAATGTATCATTTTACGTTACCAATTTGATGATAGACTTCTCATCCTATGAATTTATCTATTTTTGCAAGTTTTTTAGTAAAATTAATAAAAAACGTGCGTGAATTATATCCACACGTACACGGCACATGTTTGTATCTTATTTTACATAAAAGATGAAAGATATAAAAAAATTAAATATTCATTTATTATATCATTAGTCAATTAAGTAAATTAATTACAATAGATTCAAGTGTGATTACATTGCATATTAAACATAATTAATCTTAATTAGTTAAAACTCATATTGTGATAGTTGCATCTTGTTTAATTACGTATAAGTAGGTATTACACATATAAGATAATAAAAAAAAATCTCCTTGCCACAGAGGGCCAAACGAGAAAAATAGTGCAATATGGCCTATCTACGTATCCAAGAATTCGATCAGAGCTTACAATTCCCTATTCGGTCGGCACCGCATCATATAAATTATATGAGTTAGATTTTGAGATGTTTTAGTTTATAGAAAAAGCTTAATAACAAAAGTTTCAACCGAATGAAATTTACAAATACGCCAAATCAAGTATGGATTTATTTCAAGGTAAAATTTTTTAACTATTTTTTTTATAGAAAATGGGGCAGGGTCATGTAAGGGAGCGTTCAAGTATTACGTAATGGTTTTTTTCCTTTTGTAAAACGTTACGATGCGGGGCGGGAATTGAATTACGCTTTATTGTTAATATTATTTTCGACTTTCCAGTACTTTACACTACATAATGGTAACTTTTAGGTATAAAGAGTCACTAGGTGGTCACGAAACGTTTTACTATACTTGGGTACAGAAAAACGTTACGACGCGTGACGTAATACTTGACGCTCCTTAACGGCTCATGGACACTAAATCCAGAGGGCTCGCGAGTGCGTTGGCGGCCTTTTAAGAATTAGTATGCTCTTTTCTAGAAATGAAATACGAATATTAAGAATAGGACCTACCTGACTTAAGGCTATTAAATTAAAATGTCATATTCGTAGAAAAAATCTTCCATACTATCATCCTATTTAATATTCTATATAATTATACGATAACTTCTATAATGCTGATTTAAGCACGAGTATTTAACACACAACAAAGTTGGTTCGTCTTTTATTAACCTTTTTTTTACTATTAATGCAATTACGACATTTCGTATATTAAGATCCGGTCTCTCAGTCCACGTGGTCCTTAAGAGATTTACTGTTCACAACCAATATAGAAAAAATAATTTCTTGACTTACAACCAGCTCGAGATCTCATAAATTTTATGTTAATTGCCGTATATTATTCATAAGTAATTTATTGCTTACGTCAAACTATTTATCTACGCCTAACACATCTACGAATAACAATACTATAAATGTCTGTTTCGAAATTTGCTTTATTTAAAAACAATTTGGACTCGTGACACGTGTGATTTTATATTAAGATACAGCTAATAAACATTTTTTTTATACTGTGTAGAAATCCATAAACAAGCGACGACTTATAAGATGACAACTAGGTATGACTTGCCTAATATGTCTAAATATTTGTTCTTTAGGCTCATTTGGCACAGTTTTGCACGTATAGAGTATAAAAGTGTCGTTATTAGGCGCATACCAATATATATATATATATATATATATATATATATATATATCATAAAGCTAAAGGCTTTGTTCACGCTACTACCACATTACTGGGTGAATACGACACAGACATTCGCTAACAAAATAATACTAAAAAGTTTGAACAGCACTCTGTGGCTGTTTATAACTAAATACGAATTTAAACTGTACACTTTTTTACACGGTTACTTTAGGATAAATCCTTAAAACATTTAAAGCGTAATTTGAAACGTAACATTTCCATAGTATAGTCACTCGTAGATTGACAAATCGATCCAGAGACAAGTTTATTCTTAGTATCTTGTCTTTGAATGTTATACAAGCACAATATACCAAAAAATATTCGTGTTATCTCCATCAAGTAGATAAGAAACAAAAATATATTACAATATAGCTTATACACTAAAATACTTGATCTCGCCCCTTATTCAAAAACGTATATAATAATAATAATAGAAAAAAATCATACGATAAATTGATCATAATTGTTCATACATAAAAAGCATATTTACTTAAATATAATTTTTCTGTCAGTGTGATGAATTTCGTGACATTTGTACCCTGTTGTCGACCAAAAGTCTATAATCTATTTAAATTTTTAAAAAGTTAAGTATTCTTACAATTATGGTTTGTTATTAATGGTCTACTATTACTTTCGTAGAAAGTTATTTGACGATATTTCTCAATTCAAAAGGAATTATCCTTATATGAAACGTAATCTACAGAAAATGTATTAATAATTTCGCGTTTTCAATGACTTAAATGGAAACTTCGTAACCAATGGATAATCGAATTTTCGATTCCGATTATAATCTAAATCGTAAATTTGTTTGACATCAATGCTTCAATGGAATATGTAAATACGGATGGAAGAGTTGTGTATGCACTTCAAGCGTGCCGCTACTGTTCACAGATTTTGTATTGATAAAGTAGACGACATCATAACTAGAACAGAATTCAACCGAACTCCCTTCCATTCGTTTTTATTTATTCCATGTTAATACTTTTGATTAAACAAACGCTTCGTTACTAATGGAAATAGACACTTGTAACTGGATGTTTCGTTATAACAATCGTAGAATATTACTACAGCATACTTATTCTGAGCTCGAACTCGAGCTAGAAGGCGTATAGCTGTAGTAGTCGTGCTGCTAGAAGATTTCTTCAACGTTCAAATGTGTGATGAAGCGTAAACGCATTTGCAAAGCGGGACGAAGTTTACGAATAACCGTTTCAAGTTCGTTCTTCAACGTGTCACCCACGAACATGTATTTTATGTGATATCTGATATGCGTTTAGGAAATTGTTCAATATTATTTATAAACAAGTCCATTGTGTTAGATTTTTAGTTACATCATTGTTACACGACATATTATACAGTAAACCCCCTTATAACTCGGTAGGTACTCTGATAACGCATTTTCATTAGACGCGACATAAGTACCTCGTATTAAAAGGGGTTTCCCCTAATAGCGTATTTGGAGTCATACTGTAACATAACAAAAAAATACAAGCGCGTTATGCGAGAACACCTACAACGCGTTTCCTATAACGCGGAACCAATCTACCGTATTATTGGAGAGATGTCACTTTCTCTTTTAGAGCTTTGTGATAGAAAATTGTCTGTAACCGTTTGCCAATAGATATGATAGATAATATAGATAGATAAGTATAGAGACTAAATATTAAAATAACTAAATTATATTTAGTTAACAATATTATGTTAATAGAAATTAACTTTAGGCCAAACTTTTTTTATAGAACAGGTGACAAACAGAAGGATCATCTAATAAGTGACACGGATAGATAAGCACATTGCCAGAGGTTCGCTAGTGCGTTACCGGCCTTGAAAAAGAAAATAATGTTACACTCTCTTCTTGACCTAAATCCAATTATTAAAAGGATACAGTAAATCACAAATTGGATCAATAAAGTCCAAATGCGCCTGAGTCTTGTCCACATGAGCCAACAGCTCATATAAAAGTAAAGTGATCTCCATGACAGCTCTAGATATATCCGAGTTAAATCTCTGCAGGAATGGACCAACCAGGTGGCAGAGATATATCAATTGGGATTCTGTATGGATCTCGGGAGACAGTCTCTCTTTGACAAAACTGGAATATCATAAATATATAAAACCAAAACACAAAGTATATCTAATATATAAAATTCTCGTGTCACGTGTTCATTCCCATACTCCTCCGAAACGGTTCGACCGATTCTTATGATTTTTTATGCATATGCTATAAAAAAATCTTTACTATGTGGCATTAAAAAAAATACAACGCTACATTTTCACCCGTCTACGATCAACTCCTATTTTTTAGTACAGTAGATATGTAGTTATTTTCATTGAACAAAAAAATGTTTTCTAGAAATAATATACATGGCAAAACAATATTTGCCTGGTCAGCTACTATCTTTATAAAAACATTTATATCAATCAACGTTTTATGGCAGAAAATAAGTCTTTCTTTTTACACTAATATTCGTTGACACAACACCATCTGTGTAAGACGTATTGAATGCTAGAATTGAAATAATTTACAGGCTTTACCACTATGCTTCTTAAAATATAAATATTTACGTAGACAGAGCATTGATTTTTTCTTTTTAAATTTAAAAACCCCACCTTTCAAAACGCTGGAGACTTTATTTAACCAAACATCGTTTCATTCGCCGCCATAACGGCTTGCAGCATTTGACACCCTATACAACTCCAGCAGACGTATCTGATCGTAATCAGGACTCTTTGTCTGCTAAGAGCTGCCAATTTTCTTAGTTACATCTCGTAACCGTCAGAAGATCTAAATCATGTGTCACGTAAAGGCTGATCACTAATTGTCGAAGGTTACAACTTGAGGCGTACACAGGGGCAATACTGGGTCCATATTGTTATACTTACGTTGGCATCTGCGTGATAAGGCCCGCGCCAGCATGGTACCAAAACGCGTGTGTCAACGCCAAAGTCAAACTGAATTTGTTCTCCAACATCGCATAATTCGTCATTTTTAGGTTAAACAGTTGAAAAGGGGTGTACTCGTTTGACCATTCAACCATATCGGACGCTGTTGTTAGTTCAACTATACGGTCGTATAATACAATCCAGTAGGCCTCTGGTAAAGACGCCATGATGATTCCTATGGCATTTATCCAAAGTTGAATCTTTGTCGCTGGGATTACTATGAAACCTGAAACATATAATATAAATAACATCATGTAACTCGATTGCTTAGCGATAGTAAAAATCACTCGACAAATTAAAATCACACAAAGATATATTTAACCTAATTAAAAAAAGGTGATTATCGATTTAAAATTGGTGAAAGTTGGTAAATTAGCCGTTCCGTAAACAACCCGTATACCTTTAGTAACCACATCCAATAGGTTATTGGCTACATCAGCGGGTGGTACTGGAAGGGTCATGAGTTCGACGCACGTGACATACAAACAGTGCGCTGAGGGATTTGGGTACTCGTTGAAGCGCCAATCGGTGTTTGGGAAATGTGAATGGCCCGTCATTGCTATTTCTCGTTTAGGAAACATTGGGAGAAGGGGAAAATCCATTACAATTTAAAAAGAAGCAACTCGAGACAAATATTTTGGTAATAACGCTTATTATCCGGGAATCGAACCTAAACATCAAAGAATATTTCTTTTTAAATTCACATTTGCCTTAATTCTTTACAAAAGATCAAAGTACACCTATAAAAAAAACAAAAAAGGAGGGTACACCACTCACAAAACCGAGGGTAGTACTCATTTCAAAGGATACTGTCAACCATCCGTGTAACCAAGCTCAAATAGTAATTCAATTCCGGAGCCCAATCCAAGAACTCAGTTTCCAAATTCTGCGGTGTTCTGTCCTTATTCGGGTCGGGAAGGAAATTCTGGAAGGCTTCGGTGGTCGCCCAACCAGCCGGCCTCACTTCCTTCAATGCCCCATAAACAGCGGACACGAGTTTTCGCTTCAATAGTGGCTTATCCCGTAATTTCGTTTCGTAGTAGTGTAATGTGTTGTATAGGAATGAGACTGGGCGTTCTGAAAATAATAATGTTTATTAATAAACTCTCTAACGTAAGGACGACTGGCCTATTAGGAATTATTTTTACTTAGAATTCACATTTTTTATTTGGAATATTTTACTAAAACTGTATTTTTTTCTTGGTTTTAATTTAAATATTTGATTGGATAAGTTGATAAATCGTGTATATCTACGGCAATTGAGAACTGACAGTAAAATTTAGATGCATTAATTTTTAAACTAAATATTCCTATATTAAATATATCCCCTTTCTCATTAGATAAAAAAACTGTCTATTACATAACAATTATTTTTTATGTATCTCATTTGTTTGTAACATTAATATATAAAACCTTCCATTAGTTTTTTTAAACTTTTACGTTAAAAGGGCATCAATTTTGAATTATTAAAAAAATAATATTAGTTCCTGCAAACTACAATATTGCTAACTCATTTCGGGTAAATGCATGTAAGAGATCGTTTAATATCTTTATACCTACGTTTTTATCTTAAGCACTTACCATGAAACTTATAAAGATACCCCAGGTGTTCCAGCAGCTGCTCCAGGTTTTTACAAACTTGAGGGATTTCTAAATGCCTGTGTACGACTATATCTAACACAGGTATGAATCGTAAACACACGTTGCTCAAGTAAACGGGTATTGGTGCCCCATACGCCCCACCTGCCTCTTCTGGGGCAAACTTCTCCGGGTATTTACGATGGAATGCTAAATGCTTTTCATACCTGTAAAATATTTTATATTGTGTTATCTTTCAAGATCTGACCGCTGAATGCATATGGTAGCAATTTGACGACTCATTGGTCTAGTGGTTAGTACCCCTGACTGCGAAACCATGGGTCCCGGGTTCGATCCCCGGCTGAGACGAACATCGATGTGATGAGCATTTGATGTTGTGCTTAGGTCTTGGGTGTTTAAATATGTATTTATATGTCTATCTATGTATAATATGTATGTATATCCGTTGCCTAGTACCCATAACACAAGCTTCACAAGCTTAGCATGGGACTAGGTCAATTGGTGTGAATTGTCTTTAAAAAAAAAAATGTATTTTTTTTAGTTTTTTATGAAGAAAGAACTAAACGCATCTTGTTTGCACGCGGTAAAGGACCTATAAAACATTTATGAAATCATCTTTTACTGTTGCCGGTTAAGGGCAAGTTTAAAGTCGGCAGGCAATTTATTTATTGTAACAGTTACAGTTAACAAGAGTTACTCATAACACAACTAAAAATCTAGCTTACTCGTAAAAGTAGTACACTAGTTAACGTAACTACTGTGTTAGGTATTTACCTTAAAGTAGACTAAAATATAAAACCTCTGAGTGAGGCAATGAAAGACCGCGATGTCCATGAAACTTAAAAGAAAGCCTTTAATGAAATCCTACAAAACTTGATAAGTTTAATTTAAACACAATGAAAAGTCAAACTAAATTCAAGGATTGCCTAAAAGAAAGCATTTAACCAAATCCTTACAAAAACTTGATAAGGTTAAGTTAACAATAAAAAGAAAACTAAATTCAAGGATTAGAAAAAAGTATTTCGAAATATATACGATACGATATACGGGATGACGATGGCATTAAACTAACACATTTGAGATTCGCCGATGCTGTTTACCTCTCTAACACTAGAGAGGGAAAAAGCTGAAGTGGACTGGGCAAGTTAAAAGAGGTAGTATGAAATGGTCCACAAATCTGACACAATGGTGTAATGGTTTCGTTATAGGGAGTGAATATAAAAAACAAACAAATTTAACCAATTACAATAATTTCTAATTTTATTACTAGCAATAGATAAATCAGTCTAAACACATAACGCTTTTCTTTTATAAGCCATCTTGACAGTTTCAAAGTTTGTTTACGACTGATAATACACGATAGGTTACGGTGGTGTAATCAGGCAATCTAATCTAAGAATAATGGCACACGTGTTAATGCAATTAACAATAACAAAGGCGAGACGGCAGTTTATGACCTCAGGTGTCTTTCTTAGAAATTTCGGCACCTCAAAAGTTTGGTTTTGTAAGCTGATTTTAAAAACAATTACACTTATGTTGTTAAGTGGTCCTAGAGTGACTTTATGTATGGGCGGGCTTTGTGTTAAACCAAACAAATGTAACTATTTTTACGTAAAGAGTGTTTTTTACACGTGATAAGAGAAGAAAAGTAAAAATGGACAAAGAAGGTAACATAATCCCAGGGATGGAAATAAAATCAAGGGAAGGCAAATTAGGCGTTACGATGATGACATAAGGATAGCCGGGGCGGAATGGTATGAAATAGCGAGGGACAAACCCACATGGCGACACTTGGAGTAAACCTTAGTCGAGAGACAAGTTGTTAAGTTGTAATAGTGTAAAAACACTACTACTTTCCTACGGCCTGATGCCGAGGCGAGGTTGCCAATCTTTGAATAGCGATCACAACATGCAAGTGCGGCAACGCCGCAAATGTATAAGATACACTACGACGTGACACTTATGAATTATTCAAAAGCAAAAGAGACCCAGACACAGACGAAGGATATTCCAATTGGTTCTTACGTAGATACGCAATACCAGATGGTCAACATTAACTTTCATGAAATGGGAATACTATTATCACATTACGTTGTATAATTTTAGACCTTGGGTTTCAATAACAATTGTGTTGTTACCTATACGAATAAACGATTTTTGACTTTGACTTTGAAAATATTATTGGTCGCAATTCCAATAAAATTGATAGATTTTATACAGGAAAACTTGATTTGGATTTTTTTTTTCAATTCGTTAAGTTTTCTGAATTAGCTATTCTTATTTATTAATTTAAGTTCTTATAAGATATATTAAACAATATTTATAATAGTAATAATAATAACGTATATAGAACGTACCTACAAATATGTTGAAATTAATTATTTTTTTCGTATTAAGCGCTGAATTATTAAACATTGTCTAATAATATTAAATTTAACGATTTTAAGTAAAAATGATGCAACGATAAAAATAACGTTTGCGTGAACACCATGTACTCCAAACTTTTCCATTGCTTCTCCATATGTTAAATCTGCAACGCACTTTGAGAGTTATATGGCGAGGGATAAACATGTGCATCGATCAAAAATCTTAGTTTACTAAAAGTTCTTGTATGCAGCGGATTTTATAGTGTAATTTTTATAATCTATAATTTTCATACAGATAATATATTAAGGAATGATTAATTTTAATTAGTAAATTTAGTATTATTGTAATAATAGGTTTTAGTATTATTCTTCACGGTTTATTGGCTCTATATGTTTTAATCGTCAATTCGGTTCATTTGCTCCATTAGTTTAATGAATAATAAATACTTGTCTTTTTGAAGTTATTTTTATAAATAAACATTCACTACAAATATCATGTCAGTATATAATATTATAAACAAATCACCTCATGCCTCGTCTATGGACTCGACTCCCCTTTACCCTTCTCTCTGATTAAAGAATTTCTCTATAAATTTATGGACAGCACCATCTAGCAGTAAATAGCACACGATCAATATCACATGATTATGACTAAACACTACAAATGCTGATTTTGTATATGCTAACTAGCTATATGTATTAAAGATTTCATTATTGGGATCCAAAATATTTTTACAAAATCTTATTGACACTTAACTGTTTATGTCAAAATAATTTTTAGTAAAACTTAGCAATAATTGAACCTTGAAGTTTTCCCTAAATTAAATGATATCAAGGATTTCTGCTTATCAGTTTTTTTATATAATAGGGGGGGTAAACTAGCTTGCGGGACGACCAAAAAGGGCAGTCTTCGCAGCCCATAGACACTATAAAATCAGTGTATCATTTTCGGAATATTTATTTTTATGTAAACACTAGCTGCCCCCGCGAACTTCGTTTCTCTTAATGCCTAGCCTACCTTTTTAAGGGTTTGAAAAATAGATAGTAGCCGATTCTCAGACTTACTGAATATGCATAAAAAATTTCATAATCGGTCGAGCCTTTTCGGATGAGTATGGAAACGAACATTGTGACACGAGAATTTTATATACTTACCTATTAGATTGTTGGTCTATTACTTTAATTGTCTTTGTTAGGTTTATGTGTACGTTATTTACTCACCAATTATTCTGTTTCCAATGTTCCGGCGAATTCTCCTTAACAAAGTCTTGCGCTCTATTTCTCAATTCCGAACCTTTTAGCAACAAAAGTTGTATAATATAGAGACACACCTGACTCTCATTTCCGTCTGGGTTCGGTCGTAATACCTGAATAAATATACAATATATATAGTTTTATACTATGTACTTATGTCTCTTTTCATCGCAGCGTCAAAATAATTTGTGAGAAAAAGACGACTGTTAAGAATTATCTTCTTATAGTTTAGGAAATAGGTGAATCAATAATAGGCATTTTGACAAGATTTTATTAACATGATGATGTTATCAACTCCTACAGGCTGTTCCCCCTAGGACCAACATTAAATTCCCCTAAATATATGAGTTTAATTTCCTCAGAGACTTTGTTTGTTATAATGATAATTAACTATTAAAAAACTTGACGATTGTTTACGTGTTAAACACAGTTAAACAATCTCCAACTCGGGGGGTTTACTTCTAAATTTAGTGGTAAACTGGTCCAGGGGGTATTTTAGGGTACATTTTTTTAGCCCCATTTTTAGGGGTAAATTAATGTATATTAAGCCTCGAATCCAATCAACCTAAACGAAATATAAACGCCAAGTGTGGCAATAACTGAAATATCAAAATGCTAATACTCCAAAATCGAAATTGTATACTAATTTATGAAATATGGGGATATTTCATAAATTAGTATACAATTTCAAAGTTTACAACAAAAACGTTAGGGATTTTTAAGTTGGTTTTAGGGGCACATTCTCTAGGAGTTGACATCTCAGTATAAGCTACCATTTTTTTTAAAATATATTATTATTCAAAAGCGTCCGTATGCGCAAAACTTTACACGAGATTATAGAAAGTTAAACTCACTAGACACAAAACCAGACGATCTATTGTAACGATGTTATATTTCCAAATAATATCGTTGATTGCGTCGACACATTTGTTAATATGAGGCCCCCCGGCTGGATTCGTCACTTCGAACATTAAATAATCGCAGAATTTCCTTAAATGCGCTGACAGAGCTCTAGCTCCAATACGCTCGAGGATTCTAAATAAAAAAAAGACTTAACATGAGATTGAGAACGAGAACTGTGGCTTCCATGAGACTATTCTTTTGTTTTGTTTCATTATCGGACGTCAAGGTACAATACAAAATACGATCCTTATCACGTCCGGCGTCCGACATTCCACAACTGAGCGTTTTCCAAAGCAGATTTTGCCGCGCACCACCGCTATGTGGAACCAGCTGCCCACTGAAGTATTTCCGAACCAATTCGACTTAGGGACCTTCAATAAAAGAGCGTACCAATTCATGAAAGGCCGGCAACGCACTTCTGGCAATGTAAGTCCATGGACGGCGGTATCACTTAACATCAGGTGAGCCTCCTGCCCATTTGCTGCCTATTACATAATGGAAAAAACTAGTATTCTAAAATGTACGTTTTTGACATATGATAAAACTCAGCTGAAAAAAAAATTAAGCGGTCGTTTCTGAACCTTATCCTAAGTATGACAATTGACACATGTCAACGGACGATTTGCTATGCGAGAAGTAATTTACGTTTCAACACGTGCGTTTAATTAAATTATTATTTAAATATTAATGATAGCGATTTTTTTCTTGATATATACGTGGGTAACACTGAAAATGTTTAGAACTGGCCAGTTTGAAACATTGCCAATGAAATCTTTTTTGAATTTCAATTTTAGAACTCTTTGGTAACCTAATGTACTATATTGCAATCTCAATGATGATCCGTGTGAGGGACGTCCTTTAACAGCGACTAGTGAAGATAACTTCAGTGCTGTACGACGCATGATAGAGGAATATAAGAGAGTGACCTATCAGCAGATACGGGCAAGCCTGGCATTGGTATGAGTCAGGTTCAAAAAATATTACACGAACATTTAGGCGTCAGGAAGCTTTGTACCAGATGGATTCCCCATACTTTAACCGACGACCAGAAACACCAAGTTCAAAGGCGTTGACTCAAATCCTGTATTTGAATGCTGGATATATTAATATATAATACGAAACCCAGAACTAAAGATAAAATTCGAGGTATTCGCTTTACGAGCCCTGAAGATGCGGTGAAAGCATACAAAAATGCCATAGAAGAGACCTCTAAGAAAGAATGGGCCCATTATTTTTCTCAGTGGTTCCACCGAATGCGACGATGTGTAGAGAGGAACGGAGATTACTTCGTAAAACAATAAAAGTATTGGCAACTTTCTACATTAAGCCGTTTTTCATTTTCTAAACACTTTCAGTGTTACCTAGGTATATACAGTTTATACTCTTTATAACGAATTTCAAGATTAATAAAAATAAAAATTTAACCAATGACAATAATTTCTAATTTTATTATAAAATTGCTTGATCTAAGTCGTCGAGTTTTGGCTTCCTCAATTTTTTTGAGGACACTACCTTTCTTCATTTCTGCTTGTAAAATCGCTTCTTTCTTTTTCCAAATGGTAGCAACAGCAGATGGACTGAGGCCTAAACGTATTCCAACATCACTTTTTTTTTTAGAGAGGTTTTCGTTATAACGAATGACGTTATAAAGAGGTTATAATGTATATATTGATATGTTCTATATATTATATATATCAATGGGACATGTCACAGCGAATCATCTAAGTCACTTCCCAAAATGGACCAGATATCGTTTCGGAAATCTAACTAAGGACGTCCAGATTAATTAAATAAAATTACAACCAAGCTAATTCTAGTCAACAATGATAATTGTATAAACATAAAATAAAATATTTAAATTACTTACTTAAACGCAATCGGATTAATACGATTCGTCTCAAAAATCATCTTCCAAAGAAGACAGAGGAAAAGCGGCGTTCCGGGAACCGAGAAATGTGATATTATATCGTTATCGTTTGCCATCGATGTCCATTTACGATACTCCTCCTCAACTGACTTCTTTAGGACCTGCTTGTTTTCCTTTGTAGCAGGGTTCTGGAAATTCAGATTGTTTTTTAATTAATTGGTTTTGCTCGCGTTAAGTCTCCATTTTGAAGGATTTTGCTGCGTATTTTTGTAACACTTCGACTTGGGTCATTCAAAAGAGCGTATCGTTCATAAAACGCCGGCAACATACTCGTGAGCCTTGTGTTCTTGGGTACTTAACATGTTTTATACAAAAAGTTGGTCGTAGTGACTTGCACTATGGATTTTTTTTATCAAAACCCGTCTCGAGATCGAAGACCACAGGTAATTTTTTTTTTTTGCTCTGTTAATAAATATTGATATTCTCTATTAAAGCTTTTTATCACAGAAAGGTTTATTGGTTCCATATCTCATGAATTTTTTCATTTAAATAGTGTAATCGTTAGACCTCGTTTAAAAGAACGGCTTTCAAATTCTGTCATAATTCATATTCTGTCGTAAAAACATGACTTTTAATTTTTTTTGACTAACAATCATAATTGCCACAAATCTTTCATAAATCATCAAAATAAGAAAAGATAGAACTTTTAGAGTGCGTCAGCACATCGTAACATCAATGAGAAGTATAAGGACAAAACATAAGTTTCGTGTCGTCGCAGCTTTTATTACTGTCATGGCGGCAAACTTTGTTTAGCACTTTTACACAAGTTATATATATATATATATATATATATATATTATATAATGTATATAAATTATATATGTACAGTCAAACCTGTGTAAGTGAGAACTGGATAAGTGAGAGTAATAGCCGGGACCCGTCATTTTAAGCTCCCAAAACCTCTATTAGCGAGAAACAGAAACCTCTGTAAGAGAGAGTAGTTTTTCCCTCATGAGCCTCCGTAAGTGAGACTGCTACTTATCTATACCTCTATAAGCGACAGTCGAGCTTTATTTATTTATATTACTTAGGAGGAACTATAGCTACAAAATACAATCAATATTCGACGAAATTTATGAGTTAGAGAAAAACATTCAAAATACAAAAACAGAAACCCAAACGAAATTGACGTATTTTTTTAAGTGTAAATAAGTTCTAAATAAAATATATATGTACATAATATATGTTGAGCACGTTATGCACATAATTTTATCATATTACATATTTACTACATTCGTACTTGCTGTGACTTGTTATTGCTGCGTACCTCTATAAGAGAGAAACGCTACCCATGTACCTGAATTAGCGAGAAACTCGGGTTAGTGGGAAACCTCTATAAGCAAGAATGAGATTGTGGTCCCTTGAACTCTCGCTTATCCAGGTTTGACAGTATATCAATAATTCTATATTTCAAGAGCATATCTTATCTATAGTTATACTAATTAATCGTATTTAACAGCGTGGATACAAGTATTTTGGACGAAAGGGTATATTTGTTTATTACCTGTGTGAAAAACTCGACAAGAACCGGCGGGAAACATTGCAGCGTGTGCTGTGACCACATGTGTGGTGTGTTTGTCATAATCGTCGTGAGCAACTCTTTAACTGCAGCACTATCACTACCTATATATAAATTGTATAATTAATTTTTTCAATATAAAGGTTTGAAATGGATATTATTAAAATATATTAATTTAGTGACAGCTTGAATGCATGAATATAAATTAGTTTTGTTTTATGTATTAATAATTGCAAACATTTTAGCGAAATTAATTATCTAAATATATAATATACATACGATGTAGAAATTAATTGTTTCCCCGAAACTTAGAACCACTGAAAAAAACTCACCCGCACCACTCATATAAATTCCACGTGCTAGAGTGAGAACAAGCACTCGGTTGAGCTCCTCACTCTCGCTTGACACGAGTGACTTCGGCTCAGTCACAACTCGGGACATTTGCATTTGAACGCCGGAACTACTGAGGCTAGTTATAAGCCGGAGGGCTGTGCTCTCAAAACTGAAAATATATTTTTCACTTTCACAGTACTAATTTATACAGGATGTCTCATAAATATAATGTCAAGCTGAGTTGATTGATAGTGCAGGAATAGCGAACCTCAGAAAATTATTTAAAAAAATTCCATGTCACGTAGTTTTAAAATTATAGCCATTAAAAAGTAAATGAATTTGTTTTATTGAATTGATTTATTCAATTGTCATAAAATAGCAGTTACTCTTTGTTTTTTTTGTAGGTAAGTTAAAACTTATTTTTATTTATTTGCTCGAGTTACCTTAGTTAGTTATAATGCGACTTCTAATTAACATATTTTTTAGACAATTTTTTTTCTTTTTATTTTTTTATGATACAGCATACAAAAATACAAGCAACGATTAATTTTCATCTACCCTCTACAATCAACCCCTATTTTTATTTGTTAGTTAAGAACTATAACTTGAACTCTGAGGTTTATATAGAGAAAAATCACAGAAAATCCTAAAAAGTTTTCATTTCGGAAAACCGAACAGTCTCTGGGGTAGCGAAGCAAAATGTTCCATATTGGTATGTACTAAAAAGGTAGGCTAGGCATTAAGGAGAAACGAAGTTCGCGGGGGCAACTAGTATGAGTATACAATTGACAATTAAATGCGCAATTTTTAAAGTTTATGTTAAAATTATATTTAATAAAATCGATTAAAGAGGGCACTTGTAGTTTACATATTTATAAAGAAATCATTTGTTAAAGAATTAAACACACCGAGATCGGCGACCAGGGGAATTCACAAAAAAACATCTAATTCAAAGCCGGTAAATAAAAATTGTTTTTCTTTTTTTCAAACGCAGATTTTTATTGATCGACGAATATCAGGCGTTCTTGATCACCTACTTGTCAATAAATTAAATAAAGAGATGACCTGAGACTGATGGTTATAACTTAGTTACCATAGTTGCAGCTGAGTTTGATTCGCTTGTGGATAAGCAGCGAGTGAGTGTATGTTTGACAGCAAGGTCACTCTATAGTGAGGCTGAAAGTGATGAATACGATATGAGAACATATCCAGTAGATTATGGAGAATTCCCCAAGCGTGAGATTTGAATACGTTCGGCAACAGTTGATCTATAAAAAAATTATACTCCATTAAAATTTATAAAATTTTCTTCTCATATTAGTGGTTAGAAACATCAAAGGGTAAGAAATGTCTTTAAAAAAAATGTGTGCGTGTACTAAGTGTACACATAAGAAGTGAAACTTCTTTATCATCTTATTTTTCGAAAAATTATCTACTATATGCAACTTTACAGAAATTGGTTAAAAAATAAAATAGTTAAATTAGATAAAGTTTAACAAAAGGCTTTTATTATTTCATTTTACCTTATTACTACTAAGATTATTACAGAATTTCATTAATTGTAATGGAATTATTACTATCATTGTTATCTTTATTATATATTTTTGTTACTAATGGCTTCGAATCTCTTCGGATCAACCGTGGTAGGGACAAGAAAAAGATGGCGCGTAACCGAAAAATGTGACGGTATTTTTTTTTCCAACGCCGATAAAGAAGTTGGACTTCAAAAAGCAACATGGCGCGTAACCGAAAAACGTGACGATTTGCTACAAAATTTCTCCCATACGTCGATAAAGAAGTTTCACTTCAAAAACATTATTTATTTGCAAATTTTCTATTCCGACATTAATATACTAGTAAAGACTTACTAATATAAAATCGAAGAATATATACCCGTTAAAAGCCTAAATTTTTAACCAATATGAATCGTGTAAATTTAATATAGAGCAAAAATTATTGAGCGTGCCCAATACGCACGTGAAAGTTTTTTTTTTTATGTAAAAGTAAACGGGTAGGAGGCTCACCTGATGTTAAGTGATACCGTCGCCCATGGACACATTGCCAGAAGGCTCGCAAGTGCGCCGGCCTTTCGGTGTTTCTATGTTAGTAATCATAACCTGACTGTGCTCATTATGGCACTTCAATTCGTCAAATTAAATCAAAGATTGAATCTAACTCATTATCAAATCTAACCCTACTATAGAAAAATCATGTTTCTTTCGGAGACGAATAAAACTAAATAAAATAAAATGACCGAGAACCGAGAAATTCTTATTTATAAGGCACTTATAAAAACCCTTGTTATATATTTTTTTAATATCTTACTTTTATCTACCACAGAAATCTCGTATAATGGTATACCGATCAAGAAATAGAACAATTACTAAACAAAATCAAGACCTTGTGTAACTTAGACCAATGAAAATAATACTCACTTATAAACCCTTTAATGCCAAGCGACTCAATTTCAGTATATACCAACAAGCGGCTGTATGTCTCCACCAAGGCCGGAGCCATCATATTGGGTAAATTGGTTTTATTCTGTGCCAATTTCGCTACATGAGTCACAATAGAATGTATCAATGACATTTTGCAATGTAGTGTCAAACTGTCCAGTATACACATAGATAATGGTACAGTGGGTAACGGTGTGGAGGGATTTCCGTTGGGTAACGCCTTTTGGTTACCCAGCAATGTCTCAATCATTATACCCATTGGTCGGGCAAAGAATTCCTGGTTCGTTGAGTATGCGTTGCACAAAAGCGCTATTCGGTAGTCCGAGCCTATGAGTGATGGGACATTGTTTGACGACATGAGGTGTTGAAGAAATCTATAATACAAAATTTGACATGTTAACTTAAAAGCACTGCCTCGTGTCTTTCAATATTCATACATTTACAGACTTATATTAGGACTCGGAGGATAGGATTATTTGCCTATTGAAAAATGAATTACTTTGAAAAAGAATTCAAGTATTACGTCATGCAATTTTTTAAGATTATTGAACCCCCCGCCCCCCATGTAACGCGCCGTAACGTTTTCTGTACCCAAGTACAATAAAACGTTTCGTGACCACCTAGTGAGTCTTTATACCAAAAAGTTACCATTATGTGGTGTAAAGTACTGTAAAGTCGTAAATAATATTAACAATAACGCGTAATAGTAAGTGATCGAGACAAGATTGTGTTTTGAATTAGAATTTTAATAAAAACCTAACTCTTTATACTAGTTAATTTGTAAAATAATACTAATAATACTCTTCTCTTTATAAAATAATGAAAGTGAAACTTACTCATATTGAAGCTTCAAATTCTGCGGCATCACCATAGTCTTATGTTCAGACTCCGCTTTCTTCAACAAATGCATCCAAATGCAAAGTACAGCTAACTGATGGGTACAATATGTCTTTGTACAATCCGGTACCGGAATCGGCTCCTTCTCAGGGTAGAGCAATTCATGCAATTTGATAATGGGCAAAAAGGTTGACAGTGGATTCCTTTGTATGCTACCAGATATATATTGAAGCAACACCCACATCAGATGGTCCCTACCTTTCTTCATATCTTGCCCTATCAACTTGCTATGCAACCCCATTACTATATTTGGAAATGAGGCAAAACCAATCAATATTAAATAAATAACTTGTGACGATAAATGTAGCCAGCACCAATGCGTCGACGACATTTCGTCTTCATCGCTCTCTTGGTCGCCCCGTTCCATTGGTAATATCATTAGCTCAACCAATTGATCCTCCAATGCTATACATCTCTGTTTATGCTGTTTTTGAAGACCTAACATCGAACACATCGTGTCACGCGAATACGGCTGTTGTAAAACATGTTTTAACAAATCAATCTGAGGCTTAAACAACTCATCGTCATATGGAAGATTTCCTTTTAAGCAAAACTTCAATGTTGTGGGATCAAGCCGCCATGGATTTACAAGGTGGTCGGCGTAACAGGAGAATTCAACTATTGGCAACATTTTTGAGTGACCAATTATTGTTACCATTTGAGCACACGGCTTAAAACTTTCCACAAATTTTGTAAATAGTTTTGCTAGTTGCTGAAAATGTAATGAAAAAGTTTGTTTAGTTAGCATTTCCATCTGTTAAGTGTATACATGGAAACTTCCCTTTAAATATTTGAATTGTCGAAGTTTGAAGGTCTTAGAAGCGTCGTTCAGTGTTCAGTAAATATAAAGGAAATAAATAATGAATTTGATATTTATTTATCCTTAATGGGAAAGGCAAAGGACTTTACTCCATACAGCCAGGAGGAAATAAATAAGTTATTTTTGACATAAAGTAGTACATAGATAAAAAACAAATAACTGCACCATCAGGTATGTCAAAGCTGTATACATATGTAAAAATATTATTAATGTCATAAGTTATGACTCATTACATATCACCAGTATGTCACAACCTTTTTAAGTAAATATACTAATGTTCTTAGTATTAAAATTTTACAAAAATGTGGTAAATTGAGTATCGAAGGCCCATGATAATTAAGAGCCTGTAGATGTTTTTTATGCTTCTTGCAAAGCATATTTTGTTACAGTAATATTTTTAAGAACATCAAATAAACTGTCACTGTCAATGGACCACATTGCCAGAAGGAAGTATATGACCGAGCTTTTTTGAAAACCTCTTATTGTTGTTTCATTCTTTATATTTAAATTGTAATTAACTTTTTATTGCTACAAGTAAATGTAAGAAAGTCACCGGCTTCCGGTTCACTACTGCCAGCCTGGGACACATGTTTTATAATTGGTTTATGGGATTAAATTATAATTTTTAATGAATAACATACTATGATTATGTGAAAATAAAACAAAAGTTACCCAGTGCGGCCAATGCCTGTTGTCAGGATAATCTTTTTGTATCTCCGTCACTATGAAATATGCAGGTAAAAGTGATGCATTTCGGTCAAAAATATATTCCAGTATGTTATACACAGCCTTCATTTGTGGCATTGTACTGGAACTTAATTTTACTGGTAATGTGAGAGCTTTGTCTCGACAACCCTGCAATTTAAAAACAATTTAGTGTTTAAACTCATAAACTATAAAAAACATATTTTTACTAATAATTTGATGATATTTTGCACATAATTTAACATCCCTAGATTTGATTATAAATATTTAGACTGGCTTGACAATCCATACAATGAAAGCGATCGTAACATTTTCTTTTTAAACTCATACATCTGTGTTTCTATCATAATCTTATACTTATATCTAAGTAAAATGAGTTTTTTTAGAGCTCAGACATTGTCTTGTGCGATGCCATTAAATCAGTTAACCAATTAGGCATCACATTGACAACCTAAGTTATATTGTTTTCTAGATAATTTAATTGAATAATAAAATTTAAATTAATGTATACCTCTAGTTAATTATTAGGCATATTTTTATGTATGTATATAATTATGTAAATACAAAAAAATACAAAAAAAAAATATGTAAATTTTACCTTCATAACATCTCGAACTCCTTTATAATCAACACCACCAATTATTCTTCTCATTAAATTGAAGCACTCTATCCAAAACTCAGCATTTTGATATTTAAGTCTCTCACACGAAAGTATACTATCGCATAGCATCCTATAAAATAACAATAAAAATAAACATTTCTTATTTACTGAAGTTTATCACTGAAGTAATATTATTGCTTTAAAACAAGCATTTAACTCTCTGTAATCACAGGCCAAGTGTTATGAAACTGAAACAAGTGCCTTGTATCTTAAGAGAGTGTTTTATTACTATTGAATACATATATTTCACCATAGAGTAATTATAAGTATATCTCAAAGTATCTTCTCTACCAAATTTAAATTTATAGCTTTTTTAGAAAGACATCCAAAAAGTACCTTGCTTGAATAACATTTGTGTTTACTAAGTTTTCCAAAAGGATGATTAGTTTCTTCATGTGCCTACAGTTGGTTAAAACCGCAGTCAGGGCCAAGTACTTGCGGATAATTGTATCTTGATACTCTGCAGTTGCACTAGCCATTATAGCAGAAAACTTTTTAAGATGCATATTTAAAATCTCATTATCCTGGCCAGGTTGATGTACTAAGAAACAGCTGAAAGCTTCTTCTACAGCTTCAACATGCTAAAATAAAACAAAACAATTAATAACTTGTAATTAAAGTAAGGCTGTGTTTGACAGATTTAAACTAATTCTCTATAAATTAGTAAGAAACAAGACATCACAACAAACATAAAATTTTGTGAAAAACTTTACTCTCTTATTTGTGTATATATTTTAAAAACTATGGTAGACAAGTTAACATTTAGAGAAAAGTATTGTACCCTTTATTGTACTGATACTTATTATCTTATTTCTGTCATGATTACCAGCTCGGGGCAGGTGGTAAAAATATGCAGGTACCGGAAATTGAGGTTATGTAAACCTGTCATGGCATGCCATGTACAAAACCATCTAAGATTTATTTTTAATCTCAAAACTGTTATAATATAATAAATTAAATTGAAGAAAGAATTTTCAATATTCTTGGCATAGTCTACCTAAGACTAAAGGGCAGGAATTCTTAGGAAGAATAAAAGAGACACTGTACCACTAACATTGCTTCAACTTTTAAGTCACTATCAATTTCAGCTCCAGGAATAGTAAATATTTTTCAATCAGGAAAACTGCTATTGCTGATGGCTCAAGAGTATAGATTAGTATGTACATATATGTAAAACAAGTTGTTACATGGTAACAACTACTCATTTTAATGAAGAAAAAGAATTAAAGGACAGTTGAAGTGAGAATCAATTTACCTAATTATCAACAGATATCTCTATGAACTATTTTGATATTCTTTCCAAAAATAAGTTTCTATAATGAAATGCAACAAATGCATAACTTGGAATTATCATCGGAACCAAATATGTATGAGGGTTATACTTAGATTCTTTCCTTTAAGTAGAGTATTGTGGTGGTTGAAATGTATGATGAAAATCAAATCAAATAAGCATTAAAGATGGTCAGAGCTATGAAGAACACAGCATAATTTGAACACTCAAGCTTAACCTTAAAAGCGCAGTTGACATAGAAGGGAAGCTTATTTAGCCATATATTGAAAGTGAAAATGAAAAAAAATATATCACAGCTATTTGAATGTGGAACATATTAAGAATTACACAACTAAACTAAACAAGCATCTACATAGTCATACACAAAAACTAAAAAGAGTACCAATCTGATTAAAACAATACCCTATGTAAAATGTAAACTTATTCCCCAAGAGCAAAAACATTCCCTTAAACGGTTATAATGAATTCCTTCAGAAAGAGATTAGCGAATTTCTACATATCCTAATACACACTCATCAGAACTTATTGCTAAGGTGTTTAATTGAGTGTATGTAACAGAAACGATTACTAAAATTATGTTCAATATTAAAGTAATTATTCAATTACTTACAAGTATTTCATTAACAATGTTTGCTATTTGTGATTCTGCCATTTTTACACACTTGTTTGCTTCTTGGACCTTAAGAGAAAAAAATCAAACTACATAGCCAATGCCAATAGTTATCTAGAAATCCATTATTTACTAAAATTATGTTGAATAGTAAAGCAATTATTCAATTACTTACAAGTATTTCATTAACAATGTTTGCTATTTGTGATTCTGCCATTTTTACACACTTTTTTGCTTCTTGGACCATAAGAGAAAAATCTCAAACTACATAGCCAAAGCCATTAGTTATGTAGAAATTAATTAGGTACAAATTATAATGTAAACTTAAAAACAGTTTAATAATGAACAGCATGTCCATTTACTAATCAATTCCATAATATTTTTTACAAGGTGCTGAAATAACAAGATAATAAATAGATTAGGATTTGTCTATGACAATTGACAACTGTCTTCTTAAAGTTTTACACATGACACCACTTGACACTGACTAAAACAAATCAACCACAGCTAACGCAACCATTTAAAATAAAACAAAAAATAATTTTAAACTTATCGACATAATAATTAACTAATTGAAGATAAAATTGACGTATAACGAGCTTGGAATAGCCAAATCGCATCAATGATCAAATCCCACTCCAGCTCCGAAGCATTGTTTAATGTTAAAAAAAAGGGTGCGTGTACTTATGTACGCGCATAAGAAGTTATACTTCTTTGGCATTATTAATAATACATACGGATAGTTAACCTCAATTGTATTGAAGCACTTAGGAAGGTTGATGAGCACAGTTTTTCACAAATATTTTCTAATATCAATTAGTATTGATTTAAATATTCAATTTAAATCACTTCTCATTATAATTCAGACGCACATATAAAATTCTCACTTGTAAAATGAAAATAACTAGGTATGTTTCATAACCTTTTAACTAAGTAACAATAGGTCTTAGTGAAAAAGCATTTCTAAATGTCTTTGAAAAAATAATTAAACTCCTTCATTTGTTTAAAAGGTACTTACTACAAAGGTCATTATGGTCATTCAAAATTCTTGGCATAGCTGCTAACTTCACGCATATTCTATTTCTTTTACTTGTAGATTGTCTTATTCCCATCTCGCTCGCGCACGCTCGGCGCCCGTCTGGTTTCAAAAGAATTCGTTAGTGGGCAACTTCATACTGATAATTTTGGGTCACGGTGCGCGCGCATCGTAAAATTTGATTCTCATCAAATTTTCATAACGCGCCTAAAGAAGTATAACTTCAAAAATATTTTATATATATGCCTAACCTAGTTTAGAAAAGTTCAGTAGAACTTTCTGTCAAAAAATCAATACTTATTGCTAATTTCGATGAATTCCCAAATGGGAATTAAAAATCAAATTTAAGAATTAAATACAAAATTAAGAATTAAATCATCAAAATTTTGTTAAAATATCACAATTGTTTTAACAAAATTTTGGTCATTTAAGAACAAAAGAACTGCCTAGAACTTATAGATTCACAGTATATAAAGCTATATTCAATAAAAAATAATTGAATAGAAACATCCCTATTATTATAATAATTATTAAGATTGACAAATTAAGTGTCATATCGTTATTTTCTGTGGTTATGGATTAACATTTATGGGAAGCTCTATCTTGTTATTAATCACAACCCATCGTTATCTTTGTTAATTGGTTTATTTTACACAAACACGAGTAATTAATTTATAATCACATAGAAACGCTCAAGAAAAAAACATATATATTCTCCCGTCATAAAAGTCTCCTCTCAGTGACGTCTGTTTTTTTTCTTTTCTTAGCGTCCTATATTTATGTTGCCACATACATCAAAATCTTATAGAAAATATAGGTCTACCAGGATCTGATGGCAAAAAGGGAAAAAATAAATTTACGCTAGCAATACTGGGGAAATTGGAGTAAAACGTTTTGATACTTTTTTTTTCCTTATAGCGGCTGATTCTGTGTGTGATACATGCAAATATAAAAATTTATCCAATGAACAAGGATAATTTTTGAAAATGTGGCGAATGTGGGGTTTGAAATTTAGATGAAAACTCCAATTACTCTGTTCATGAGTTTATTAATTAATTAAGAACTTGAAAATGGTTCCAAATACTGCACAGCCATAAAAACGTCTTCAACGCAGTATTTATGATAAACCTTTCCTCCTGCATCTCAATTAACCGATCTTGTTCACAAGATTTTAGCCATTCATCGATCCCTATTTGAGAGAAAGAAACAGTGTAAAACTCATTTATCTTGTTTCTGATCAATTCTAAATCAAAACTATCCAAGTTTATTTGTAGTATAAGAAACCCCTGAAATAAACCAAAGTTTAGTATAAGTACATAATATAATACACACGAAAAATCCCATAAACCAAAGTATCAAGACGTGTCACTCCTACTAACCAGTCAACGCTTGCACATGGCTCAATATCGATGATTGTGTATGTTCTGCATCTTGTTGACCAAGTATTCTTTGATAAACATTGAAAACAATTTGTCTTGCTTGCGATTGAAGAGGTTTCTTCGACATTTTCATCACTTTTTAAAGGAAATTTGAAGCCAAACCAAAAACAATTCCTCAAAATTTCAGTTGACAGATGAAATTTTTCTTTTATTGCCATATGAAAATCGCTAATTTTTAAACTTTTTTTTTGCCATCAGATTCTGGTAGACCTATACTACACAATATAGTATGTACATTTTTAGTGCGTATCTACGATACGCTACACATTGTTATCTGTGGTCAAGAAATGTGAATTGTGATCGCTTATCGTTCGTTTTAGTTTGTATCTTGTATTAAAAACGTTTGCATTTTTTATTATTTATATGAAAAGTGTAGCAATAAACTTTAAATACATGTGTTCGTCGTGGAATTACAATAAAATTATATAGCGAACTCCTGGGTGATGGAGTCACCGCCTTCGTTTTCGACTCACTCCGAAGCGCCCCCGTTAAGTGAAGATAGTGGTTTGCTTATTACTAGTGGTTCGTTTTCAAGTGATTCCGCGAGTGGATGGCATCATATAACGTCGGAGGTAAGTAAAATTTATTTAATAACATGCTATAAAATAGGGTTATTCATTGAAGATAGATGTGTAATACTATGTAGTCATCCTTGTAGTAGTAGGATTGTTATTGTGTTTACATTCATACGTTACGCTAAGTACATACAAGTAAACACGTACTATGTGACTGCAATCTACTTGGTTTTTCTTGGTTTTGAATTGAGAAAGTTTATTGTGCATATTTATCTTATGAAATATCTTAGACATAAATACAAATACGAAGCAAATAAATAAAACAATATTACCTAATATTATCTCTATTTTAAAATAATTTATCAGCTGCCAAATATAGTGCAATAAATTTTAGAATATTTCCTAATAATATTATGTTAGATTATTAATGGTATAGATACAGTCAGATAACTTAAAGTTAATTAAAAAAGGTTTTTTACATTAAATACACTTTTATTTTATGTAAATATATAACTACAACTACTACCACATTTTTTTCTTACAATTTAAATTGGTATATATTAAGGAATGTAAGGTTAAGGTCGGTGGCCTCAGTTTCCGCACTTAGACACATAATTGGTCCGTTGTGCTTAAGGAATATATAATTTAATAATAAAAAACTTTAATCATTTTGTTAGAGATCTGAGATGATCAATTGTTGATTAAGAATAAAATTGTTAAAAGTAGAACATCAACAGTATACTTTACACTGAAACTAAACAATTGATATATATATTAACCTACTACTATCACTTGATTTGTAAGAAATGTCTTGTTGTTGTGACATAGGGTTAGATGAAACTATTGTGTGAAAAAAGTAGTGACATTACATAATAAAGCTGAAGTATCTTTTAATCATTTGTTAAAAAACCTTAAAATGATGTTGGAATTGAATTTATGTTATTCTCATAAGACCTTCATAAATTGTTGAATAACCTTCAATTTATAATCAACTTACATTGCAACTCTTCAATACATATTAAATTACCTAATGTTCGACATGTTAATAAAAAGTGTATATTAAGTGCTTTCATTGGACTACATTTAATTAATGTATTCTTCAATTTGATGTTTCTTTAACTACCTTGTTTACAAGACTTGTGTCATATCATATACACTATCTTAACTAAAAGTAACCTGGAGCCTATAGTTTCTATTGAACATAAAGGCTTAGAGGCAGTGGCACAACAGCCTTTGTCTTTATTACTGTCTTGCAATGAATCACTGTAAAAAATAAAATTTGCTATTTATTTCACAAAATTATCTTCACTATTTTTTTGGGTCCTAATTAATTAAATTTATTAAGTATACGCTCATATATTCATATTAAATCACAAACATGTTTGTTTTTATTTAAAGGCCATTCAGTCTCCCTATACAAATCTCCTTAAATATTTTGAATGGTTGATTTCACCTCTTTGAAATCCAAGGATGGTTAATTCATTTTAATGCGTGATGAAGATTACATATTTTTACTGTTCATTTAAGATATAGATACTTTTCACCTATTATACTAAATAAACATATATATGTTTATTTATCACTATATAGTCGGTCCCAAAGTTCTGTCATAAATGGAAATAATGATAAATACTAAAGTGCTGATTAGTTTTTAATTGGTGATATTATATCAATTTATAGTATCATTTATATTATACTATATATATTTCAGTTTATAGTATTAATTAAGGGAAAGAAATAGCATAAAATTATTTGAAATGACCTCCCTTATTCTTAATACAGGCCCTTAAGCGCCGCGGGCAGTCGTCTACCAAAGCACGCAACATATTCATGTCGATGTCCGTGACTGCTTTTTTTTAATAATGACTTCAGATTCTCCAAATTTTCTTGGGGTTTATCACAGACCTTCCTCTCTAAGACCTCCCAAATTTTATAGTCCAAAAGATTAAGGTCCGGACTGGAGGAAGGCCAATCCTCATGTCTAATTAAGTCGATGTTTTGACGCTCAAACCAGGCTTGAGTTGTTTTGGCTGGTCCTGCACAAAGAGTCCGGAACACGAAGTGATGTCCCGCAAATAGCGTGCTGGGTAGGTCTTTGACAAGCTGATCCAAAACCGTCTCTTGGTACACTTTTGCACTGGTTTTGACCCCCTTTTCGCAACAACATCAGTTGGCCCGTAATAGGACACTCCCAACCAGACCATTACTGATGATGGATGATGTCCATGTTGCACCCTCAGAACTTTATTTCCCGCTTCTTCAGAACTCCTAGCGTACACTCTATCATTCTGTTTATTGTACTTCTGTTAAATATCGAAAAAAAATTCGTTCGTAAAGAGGATAATCACGATGTATGTTGGTTTTTTGTGTACCGCTTTAAAAACACCCGCGAACTCTTAAGCCTTGTTGATTTTAGACGAGCATTAAGTAAGTTCCCACTCTTTTTTTGTAGGCTCGTAGACCAAGATCTTTATTTGAACGCCAAAAAACCGCAAACTTGTGTCTTCTTGTGGTGAAATTCGACTAGATTTACTACCCTCGTCCGAGACTCCACGAAGCAGAGTTTCGACTTCAGACAAAGTTTATTCTGGTACTCATCGACAACTGCCCGAGAAATAACTGTCAGTGTAAAGAGTCCGTGAAAATATTGCTAAGTTGCAACATATCATTGATATTATGCAGAATCAGCAGGGTCGGGGATAGGAGACAGCCTTGTGCGACCCCAGCGTTCACAGGTTTAAGGTCGGAAAATGCTCCCTCGATAACGACCTTGATGCTCTGATCAGCGAGGAAGCTGGAAATTTAATTTCATAATTTCTCGAGGAGCACATAGTTTCGAGAGCAGTGCTCTGTGCCACACCCAATCGAAGGCTCTTGCTATGTGCAAACTTACCGCAAGCGCCTCCTCCTTGAACTCAATTGCCTCTGCCCACATATATGTACCTATGTGTGAGGATTACCAGGAGGTCACAACCTGAGCGACCACGGCTAAACCCGTACTGATAATCGCTAATTAGCTGGTGGCCTAGATACCTAGGAGCTGGCCGTTAATAATGGTTTACATTATTTTGGAGAACAAGGAGATTATAGCTATTGCGCGATAGTTGGACGGAACAGAGCGATTGATTAGTTTAGGGGTTCGGATATATTGAAACGGTCTTCCAGCACTTAGGGACTGTATCGAGCGAGTACAGGTACAGAAAGGCGGGTTATGACAAGACCCAACTCAGAAGCAGCATGTTGGGGGGATGTTCCAAAGAAGATAAAGCTTTACGGATATCACGTTGCCGGAATATAATTTCAGTGGTATTCTATATTCTATATTGCTGGAATATAACCACACCGCAATAATGTCGGTGGTAGCCGGTAGGGCCTTTGGTCGTCCAAAGTGGAGTTCCACGCAATGGGACAGTCTAGAAGATTGGCCTTCTCCTTCGCGCTATGTGTAATGGAGGGCTGACAGAAATTAGGTTGGACAGCTGTGGCAAAAGACCAGGGGGTCGAGTCTCCGAAGGGTATGCCAATTTCTCGTCAAATGTGGCAATGTGAACTTTGCCTTAGCGATTTCCCGTTTGAAGGACCTGGAGGCTGAGATGTATGCTTTTTCACGTTCGCCTATAGTCGCATCACAGAATGTCGCTGCTTCTGCCCAGGCTTTGAAGCATGCTCGCTTACGACAACGAACAAAAAGTTCCATACCCTGCAAGACGACCCTGTGATTAACGGAGTTTTAGCTTAGATAACAACTGTTACAAGTTTAGAAAAATATTTTTAAATAGATTTTGGTTAATTTAATCAGAAAGATGTTTATTTTTTATTCATATTCAGTTAAATAGCTTGAGTTAATGATACTAAAATAGTGAAATATCACATAAACTTCAGCTTGATGCCAAATAAAGCATTACTTTTTGGTTATAAAAAGTCCTACACTGTCAAAAATACTATTGACAAAATATAAGATTAATTACATTTTTAAATTTGTTTTATGTTTAAACAAAAAAAGAGCCATTTTCTAAAGCTATTCTATCTTTTGTCGTTGTGTTAACAAAAAATGTAATTGAATAGTTCAATTGAGTAAATCATGATGATGTGCCTATTTATTCACTACTACTAGTTTAGTTTCTACTTGGAACTTAACAAGAAGTCGTGTAGTACAGCTTGACTTGAGAGGCACATTATAACATATTCCTTTCACGCCAAGTATGGCGCACTTTGCAAGTTGAGTCGCCTCTCATTTCGTTACAATTCTGCCAGTAGGTACCAGACTTTCAGTTCCATTTTATAGTCATTTATATGGCATGTTTCAGTTCAATGTGTCAGTTACCATTGTTAAAATACTAATTTTGCTAGTTAAAATATAACTGTTCTCGTTGAATTTAGTGAATAAAAAATTTGGTTGATAATGCCCTACGTATTTCATTTATTATCTATTAGCAGGATTAAAAAAAATAGACTTGTAGCGCTATAACAATTAGCTTACCCTGAAAACAATAAAATAATATGGGAAAATATTGTAATGGGAAATTGTCTTATTTCATAATCCAATGTTCGATATAAGCTTCGTTTTATTCCTTTATTCGTAGTGATTGAACTAGCTTCAATTTAATATAAATGGATAAATATAAATCGCATAAGTGGCGTATTTTTCTATATGAAAGAACGAATGTCGAATGCGGTTTCAATAGGAATATCTGTATCGTAGATGAACTCTATCCCCCTGCACTAGACAAGTTAATGGCCTGTGAGCCCTTCTTTTTTTCATATATTTCAAATATATGAACAAACAAGAATAGATCTTAAAAAAAGGCGATTTTTTACAGCAAATTATTCTTAAGATAATAGTATCGAATATGTATTATTATAATATATACAGCTGGATTTACCACGTTGAATTTATTCATTCATCGTATTTTAATTCAAGGGCGATGGCGTCAGGGAGATAGGTTAACGTTTTCGTGTAGAGCCTTTAAAATCGAGTAGAGAAAAATTCTGGCAAGTCCATGGTCTGAAGATTGGAAAATGTTTTAACGGTCCGCCTAAAAGGTGATACCTGATAAAGTCGGGTGGGCGGTTTTGATCAAGAACTGATGGCATTTTGATGGGGTGGAGCATGGATGAATTCGCAATAAACTGAAAAACAAGTAAGCCGCCTTATTTGGCAAAGCGATGCCAACGGCCTGGCTAAACCGTAACGGATCGACATGAGGTGTTTTAGCAAAAGCAATTGATAGGAGTAGTAGAAACTAATTGACCCACGTATCAAATGTTTACTTTTGTTTTGCCATACAATCTGAAATGAAACTCAACGGCCCCCGGAGGCGGTTATAGGTGGGGTGAAATTGATCAAAAACGTAGGGCTTTATTAGGGGGTTTTAAATGAAAATACAGTGTAAACTCCATGTAACGTCCCTGGATATAACATCAAAGCCCCTAAAGCGTCGAAATACCTCGGCTTTGTTTCGTTTAGCATGTCTTTCATACAATGATGTACTCTACATAGCATTACACCCACCCTCAATAACGATTGCTTGTACATGCGTGCAAGCATCACGTGCTTTATTACGAAGATGCCTCAATATCGCAAGACATGAATAAAATAAGTAAAAAATTACAGCATGATTACTGGTGCAGCAAAAGACGTCTGACGAAAAAACCTCACTATACGCAATATATACAGAGTTTACACCGTATGTTTAAAAAGAAATCAAATGTATGAGCGCCCTGTTAGGGAATACTGGATCGCCAGTGTCTGGTCAGGGCCTGGGCCCGAAAGATATAAGAATTACAAAGAAAATTATCCATACATTTTCTATTGGACAGGACTGTTCTTCAAGCTTGCGCCTTAATCCTCGACATAAAGAATGCGCCGGCATTCGATTGAGAATTTGAAAGCATTTTCACCTTTCACAAATAATGCAATTACCTACTGAATTTTATGGTCTTCTTTTAGATACATTTCCTTAATTCATAGTAAATGCGGTATCAAAATACCGCTACGCAACCTCGACATAAGGATTTAGTTGAGAGCAGAAAGTGTTCGACTTGAAAGCAATATAAATGTTTCACAGGCATTGCTATTGCGAAAATCACTACTCTCATGGGGATCTGATCTATTTCCTTACTTCATAGTGTATACGCGCAATCGCTATATTAATTATTTGTTGTAAGGGAAAATCGTTTGATTAATTGCTTGACAGCATTTCAATAATTAACAGCAATCTTCCGTTAATTTAGGGGATGTGAAATTTTCCTATATATTATATACAGCGAACCGCGCGACATATCTATATATTATATAAAAATGAATCCCTATTTCCCTTGTTCACGGCATCACGCGTGAACGGCTGGACCGATTTCGCTAATCCTTTTTTTTGTTGTGTTTGTTATTGTCAGGAAAAAAATAAGAAAATTAGACAATTTAAGAATACTTAACCACCATACAGTTTAAACTTTTTTTAATGTAACCTTATGGCGTTTGACATAACATTGACAGAATGCGTGCTGCAAATATTGTCAATTTAACAAATCAGCCCAGCAGATGGCGCTGCAGTCGGTACTATCATACTTTGTTTAATATACTAATCGCTTGAAATATCATGCACGATAACGTCTGTCGGGTCCGCTGGTCTAGTATATTTTGTACTATACATTTAACAACATTTTAATTTTACGTTAAGTTTTTGTTTCGAATTCCGACTCTATTTGAAACCAATATATCACACGGTGAAGGAAATCATCGTGAGGACGTCTAAGCCCCACTTGACGGGGTATGTCACGCACAATAGTCATATCACTTGCTTGCCTGAATCTAAATGACAGAAAACAGATTCAGAAATCTAACACCAAGGAGCAAAAGGCGTTCTAGTACTTCTTTTAACATTATCCTTGTATATAGCTTATACGTTCGCTTCAATTAGTTAAAATCTAGAATGTAATCGACATTCATAACACAACAGTTTAATTTCAAGGAAGGACTTTTATTCAAAATAGCTAGTTTAACGACACGTAGGCAAAGCATTAATATGAGTGCTAGGATTTTCATTTAGACAATGTTAAAGTACTATTGTTTTCGTACCGTATTGTAACTTTGGTAAGAGTTGAGTCATAGTTCTAGTGGTTGTTGTCTGTAATAAGTTTCACATGAACTATGCGTTGACAAGGCTACAGTGTACTCCAGACCAACAATGCACCCGCAAATTATCTAGCCTTGTCCATGGGTAGCAATTACTACTTAACTTAAACTAGTCTGAATTTTTATCTACACTAACCATTCTTTCATATCATTATAACGGGGTTAATCGGCTAATCAAACATATTTTGCGTAAATGCTCTTTGTCATTTTACCGAGTTTACACTCATATTTGATAATCAATGTAAACCGAAGTAAAATGAAGTAAATATGACCGTAAAAATAACATTAAAAAATACATGTCTGTTTAAAACATAACAAACAGCTTTTTTAGTTATTTAAAAAACTGGTGTAAGTTAAAATCTGTTAAAATAATTAACTGTTGGAATCGAGCTTTTGTCAACTGTCATTTTCATACGAAGGTCTATCCACAAACACCGATCCGACATCCCATGCATAGCTTGTATGGCTATTACAATCCGTCGATTGG